GAAAAAGCCTTTGCTTGTCATAAGCCACAAAAAATTAAGATAACCCCCCCCCGCGCGCGCGCGGAGACCCCTTTCGTGTGCACAAATAGCTACAGCCCATTAGAGAAAGGCCACAAAAGCCAAGCGGAGGGCCTCATGACCCACGGCCCCGGCACAAATTTATGCTGGGAGGAAGACCAACACTCCGCCTCCGAAAGCGGGGCTCCTTTGCTGTCCTTCCAGCAGGGGAGTGGGCACAGCCATGATACCCAGGGTACTAGGGGGGGGCTGGGGGCTCAAAGGGGGAAACACCACCATGGAGTTCTCCTTTTATTAAAGGCAATGTGGGAAGCGCAGAAGCGCAGGCCCCCCTGCCACCAGACTCTGGCTTGCCCAGCATTGCAACGCGTGTGCAGGCACAGCACAGCGTTAGGTGCCCGGTCTATACTCCCGCTCAGAGCTGCCGCCACCATAGGATCAAGGTAGACAGTCGCTCCCTTCGGTTGGGCCCACCGCGGGGGGGGGGGGGGGGCGGGCTCAGCTCTCTGCAATTCAAGCCATTTCCGACTATAACATTCTTTTACTTAATGCTTCGTGAAACACCACAAACAAAATACCTTAAAATGACACCTAAAAGCCACAGCTGTTTCCAAAAGCAGAGATTCCAATTTATCAAACCCTGTCAGTAGATGCTGTTGCAAGCCAGACAGAAGATGTGCTTACAGGGAGAGCGAAAGAACAGCCCAATTATCCTGCTGTTCAAGGGAGGGCCGTTCCCAGCCCTTGAGCCCAAACAGGTTAACCGCTCAAAGAAAATTTTCACGGGGAGGTGAAATCCCGCATCTTGGCCCAATCTGATATGCAAATCAATAATCCTGCCTACACCCAACCCCCGGCAAAATGTGGCAGAAAACAGGATTCATTCCTGAGTTCAACTCAGCCTCACCATGTCAGTTATCGGCCTTAACGTCAATCAACACAGGCGCCCCCCCCCCCCAATTCTCCTCATGCATGGATAAGACAAGAGGAAGGAAAACAGGACAATTTAAATGAGGAAAGATTATAACCATTTAACATTTTCTGCAACCGCTCTCATAAAAAGCCACCAACACCTTAGCATGAGACTTGCAGAGGGAGACCGGTGACAGACAACCAAGGAAGCCATGGCTGTAGAAGACAAATATTTTCCTTAAAGGGGCGAGAAGGTCGCCTGTGCTTCCATCAGTCAAATAAAGCCAAATTTTCTCACAGCAAATTTTGCTAAACTCTTTAGTGGGCTCCCCCCCCCAACCCGAGCGCTGAGAGAGCGGGGCCACGTGAAGCCCAGAGTGCGTGGTGGTGCCGCTTTTGTCCCTGGGCCAGGGAGGACTCTGTCCACCTAACTCAGGCCACTAACCCCAGATCAATTCTTCAAAGAGCACCTAAGATTATACCTGGCAACGTTTTGGCAACAAAGTCTGCTTTGCTGAGGCCGTGCAAGTCTCTCGCAGAACTTAAACAGGCTACCCAAGCAAAGAGGGCAGCTCCCAGAAGCGCAGCACATCGTGTTGGTTCACCCACTTCCAAGAGTCCTTCGTGAGCCATAAACCTATAAATGCAGCTCTTTACGGTGTCTGGGATTTCTGTACGGCATTTCAAAGTCAGATGTTTAAAAACAGAGCTACTCCCTTGGACAAATGAGAGAGGGCCAGGGCAAGGACCCAGAGACACATCAAGGGAGCACCTCGGCCCCCACCAGCGCCACAAAGAAACATGCCCCGTTCGATGGGTTATTCCACTAATGTTGCCTTTGTCCCGTGCGCTGGCTTGTTTCAGTGACAGATTTATGAATGCAACACCACGGCTGCCAAGCCAAACAGCAGCTAAATGTCCTGCGAGTGAAAACCCCGTCACCACCACAGAGGGAAACCACATCTATCGGCGACGCCTGGCCTGCCAGCCGCCACCAAAGCAGTTTCAGGCCGCGCGTTCCTGAGGGTCAAACAAACCAGCATGGACCATCTTTTAAACGCTCAAGAATGACACGAGGACTGCAGAGTCTCCGAGGGAGGAGCACCCCACTCTGCTGAGGCCCACCGCTGCAAAAAAAGGCAACCCGTCTCTTTCTCGAGTGGGGGGGGGGGGGGGGGGCCTCTCTTCACTTCAGCAGGCCAGACTTGCAAGGGCTTTCTCCCTAGGGTCGGGGTGCAAATCAGTCCCTCGCTCCTAAGCAGAATTCAGACTGATTCCCTGCGCGGAGGTGTTTCACGCAAGGGGACAAACGCAGCCACTGAAGGAGAGCATCAATCCATGCTATTTTGCTCCACGGCACGTTCCAAACGCATCTTATGGCCGTGCAAAGGGCCGTTCACGACCTTTTCAGCTCTTCTCCTCTGTCACACGGAAAAGTCCCCCGAGAGCAACCCCAAAGGCCTCCAAAAGCCAATGCCTTCTGAACAGTCCCACCGCTCCTGAGGGGCTCCTTCCAAAAAGAAAAGGCGGCTAGCCGAAAAGGCCAGCGATAGCTGCTCTGCGGCACTCGACCATCTGTCCTTCTCTGCTTGAGGACTATGGAAAAATCCTGCTCAGATTAGGAGAGCTGGGGGCATCTGTCTATTTTTTGGAGGGGGGGCTGCCCAGAACTTTAACCTTCCAGTTTAAACAGGTATTTAAAAAAAACAGGTTTTACGGCATTCGTAATTCATAAACACAGAACTCAGAAAGGTTATTCACATGATAATGTACTCATCTAGATAGTCAGTGTACTAATTTAAAATTAAAATTAAAATAGATGCAAACAAATCTGGCGCTGGACTGGGCATCATCCGGAAGAAGAAGGGGGTTTCTTTAACGGTTCAGAATGGGAAGAGAGAGAGAAGCCCAGACCCCACCAGGAAGGCTGATCTGCACCTCGGCTCACGCAAAAGGAGGGGGGCCCTGCCTCCAAAACCCTTCACCCCCCTCCAAAAAAAGGCCTCAAGAATGAGCACAAGCCGAGCTCCAAATGCTGCGTGGGACAGAACTTTACAGACGAGGAAGCCAGCCAGGCCATTTGCGCAACAGGAATAATTCAAGACGCTCTCCCTTTCTCAGTAGGCGGCAAGCGGTCGTAAACCTTGTCTAGGTGGTGGCAGTACTCGTTTCTTTGTACCTAGTAATTCTGCAAAGAATTTGCTAATAGTAAAAATATCTGTTATATTACAAACCGAACAATAAAGGGGGAAAATGGACATGAAGTGTAGCTCTTTCCTCCAGAACACAACGCAGTCCCTTCAAACACCTGCCTTTTAAAATACTGAATGATCCCTCTTCAATACAACCATTAGAATAGTTCTGTACTCAATGGAAAAATGAGTCGGACCTTCTCCTGATCCTCACTTTTGGCATTTGTGAGGGCAGATCAGGGCCCTTCTGTTTATCTTTAAACCTTCACTAAGGAGGACTCGGAACAGGACAACACGCTGGCTGTTTCTCTGCTAGGAAGGCAAGAGAGGAGACCTTTCCCCGTGCCCGAGGAACACAACAGCAGCCTAGCCCTCAAGAAAGCAATCCTGGGCAAGTCTACTCAAAACCCGAGGCCAATGGGGGTTACTCCCAGGAAATATTCACAGGATTGCGCTGCAAGACGGGATCCAGTCCCATCACTGTGGCAGGCCTGGGACCAGCGACTTGTTAACACCATTTTTAACGGAGGAGAAATACTGCCGTGGAAATCAAAGGGGTTAAGCCGGCCTGACTCTGCGCTGGACTGCGGCCAACTTGTCAAATCCCTGGGCCCCTGAGTGTCATTGATGGGAACAAAACACGGCCCGGAAGAGCTGCACCCGCATCTTTCTCACTAACCGGTGAAGACAGTCCGTTATTTCTCTGCTTTCCACTCTGATTGTACTTACACACACACACACACACACACACACACACACACAGAGAGAGAGAGAGAGAGAGAGAGAGAGAGAGAGAGAGAGAGAGAGAGGGCCAGCCTGGCGAGGCAGAAGTGACAGGAGCCGGTGATTTGTGCTAACTAGCTATTGATCCAGTCAGATCTAGATGTTGGGAACAAGAAACAATAAAAGAAGGAACCAGGGAGGGTGGCGTGTGGAACTCTCCATTTCAGACGGGGAAAGGCAGGCGCCTCCCTGTCAACCCATCTGCGGATGGGCTCCTCCGCACCTGTGGAGCAGGGGCAGGCGCTCCCTGCGGCTCTGGAAGCAAAGCCCCTTCCCCTGGCATGGCCTAGGAACAAAGAGGCTGCCCGGGTGCCCAACAAAGGCAGGAGTTTTTAGGGGAGCCCCAGACCAAGGGGGCACAAGCCCCCCACCCCCACTAGCTGCCCCCGCTTGTCCTGCGGAGCCCCGGGCACAATCCTCTGCTGCTTCCCTTGGGGAGCCCCACTGAAGGAGGAGGATTGGGGGGGGGGGGTTCTGCAGCTTCCCTGCCCTGAGCAGGAGGAATGGCGCTCCTCCCTGATGGGGGCCCTCCAGAGCCACTCTCCAAGGGGGGAACCCGACAGGCGGCTCCACCTGCCTCGGACTCCCCCCCTTTACAACACCGCCTCACTCGAATACCAGACCTGCTTTCCTAGCCAGAAGTGGCGCAAAGAAAACCCGGGAAGTCCTAGGAGAACACGGGGGGGGGACCAGGTCTCTCTCTCCCTCCCCCCCCCCCCCCCCCCGGCACACCTTTTTGG